CTCTTTCACTACTCTCTCTCTCTCTCTCTCTCTCTCTCTCTCTCTCTATATATATATATATATGTATATTTACATCTGTTTAAGGGGCTCTAAACTTTTGACTTTGCAGCGCACATCAAAGTGAAACGCCTCCGGTTGCGTAGTTGGTTTTCAACATGCAAATCCGCCGTCGAGTTTGAGTAAATATCGTATATATATATGTAGAAAATATTATTGTGTAGGCGTATCAGCGCTAAAATAACGCCTTTGGGCGACTACCCAGAAATCCATTACGCGGAGGCTGTTGCCGTTAGGCGTATAATGTTAAAATGACTATACAGCGGCGCCAACCACCCTCACCCCTCTCATCCAGCAAAGACTGGATAGTCTTATACATCTTATACCTATATAATATATATACGCACAATCTTTTCGTGAATTGTATTTTATTCTATTTACCCTTTGTGAGTGTATAGCAAGATAAACATAAAAAACAAATATTTTACGCGGGTGGTATAACCTTATAATATATATACTGTTATCCATAATACTAAGTTTATAGACTATACATTTTAAACTTTGAAAGTGTATAGAAAAAGTCGTTTGTGAGAACATGGAGGTAATAGTTATTTGAATTTCGAATAGAATCGTGTATAATATACATAGACGTATAGCTGTCTCTCAGTGGTCGCACCCCTAGTTTTCAAGTTCGCCTTTTGAGAGGGCGTTTTTTGGGGGTTTAAAGTATGAAAGAGCCAAGAGGACACAAATTATTTTGTTTAATTATTTTTTAAATATTGTTTTTTATTGAAGTGAATTTTTACTTTTTTATATTCATATTCAAAGCATTGGATTCTTCTTGCACATGTTAGTAGTTGAGAACTTAACTGTTATTCAATTATTAAATGATTATAAATAACTACACTTATAGATTTATTGGATAAATGTTTGATATTTTTATATTATAATAATAACATTTTCTGAAAAAACCTATACCTGGTAGAATGTGAAATTAAAAAAGAGGTGCTAAAAAAAGTAATGACCAAAAAACATGCTTAAGTAAACAATATATTAATATAATTTATATTTTGTTTTATATGATACAAATTATTGTATTAATTACTAATTATATAAAATACACGAGATACACCTGTTAAGAATCTGTATTTTGAGTTTTTTTATTTAATTATCTTCCATTATAATTAGTGCCAATTGATGAATGTATTAAATCAATTATTAGTAACCTATTCCTATTATATATCATGTTTAATTAAGAACGATATTAACTGTGGAGTAAAAGAAAAGAAAAATACATTTTAGGGATTATTAATTTATAAATGTATTAATGTATTATTATTTATTAATAGATTCGGTTGGTACCTAAATTATATTATGGTTATGTATTTATTAATATTATCTTAAGAAAATTTAATACGAATATAATAATTAATAAGTATATCAATATTATACCGAATTTAGTCTTAATTCATAATAATTTAATCATATTACTGTTATAGTAATACATATTAAATAGTAATTGTTTTACAACATTTTCTGGAATTTCCTCTTTTCATCTGTCAATAATTATATTACCATTCTACTATTATTAAATCGATATAATACAGTGGCGTATCTACGGGGGGGGGATATGGGGGTCATATGATTGGGTGATTAGGTACCTATAAATCATTATTTATATAAACCTAAGATGTAATTATAGGTATTACCTAATTGTCCTAATTATAAAGGAATATAAAAAAATCCAAGTTCCTATTCCTACTTAAAATTTAACCTGATAATAATATTGATTGAATAATCATCAAAGTTTCCAGTACATCGAGTATAAAAATATCAATTTAGGTTATTTCGAATTGTGTTACAATTTTTTACTAAAATTAATGTAAAATAAAATAATGTGGAAATCAATTTTAAATTTTTGGTGCTGACGATGTTTGACAGATCTATTCAGATGTACTATCCATGTCTCTATTTGTATATGGTGCTTTGATATAGGTACTTTGAGTAGGATATACTACCTATATAGGTACCTACTAAAATTAATATAAATAAAATTACTTATTATTGGTAACCGAAATCTGAAAAACATATATGCCCGCATGTAATATATTATAATTATATATAATATTATATAATATATTATTATAGATGTTCAAAAAATACCATTCGTGCAATCGTGCCCATACAACAAATAACTTAATTCATCTTATTATTTATTTATTTATATGGTTAAATAGATTCAGCAACTGCAAACATCTTAAACTTTACTAAGTACATTACCTACTTACAAGTTACAATTAATATAATACCAATACGAGTATTTAAAACTGAAAATACTCTCTCGGTAGTCGGTATTTGGTATATTAATATATAATATTCTACATGTTGTACAAATATAAACTTATTGATGTACCTACCCATCACTTTATCAAGTTTATCGATAAACACAGGTTTAAAAGTATAATTAAAGTAAATAATAAATAAATATTTATGTTTTATTTTAAATTTAAATGATATAAACGAAATTCTAGGTTGATGATTAATCTGTTGATTATTGACCGACGATCGTTGGAAATGTATCATATTATTATACTAACTGACATCGTGCACTTCGTTGCCCGTTAAAAATACCTATAAGTGTATACTATCTAACTCTTAAGTTTCAAAGTTATACCAAGTTTGTCGTTTTTACTTAATCCAACCTACGACGGATTGGATACCATGTGCCATCGGGTAGTTTCTGATATAGCCTGACAATCTGACATCGCCTGGGAAAAAATGATCAATTAATACATAATACGGGGTTATATTGGTCTAACCCAGTTGAGATGCGCCAGAATGTAATATGCCAGAAACCTCCCAGGGAGTTTACTCAACAACGTCCCAAAGGTTCATCGAAATCGGATTTACAATCGCTTTAAGCTAGACAATTTTCCATACTAGACACTAGTACTAAATTACAAATTTTGAATTTTTTTTTTAGCTTTTCTTGGGGATTATTCCTATTATTTTTTTAACCACCCCTGTATTAAAGCCAACAAAACAAAAAAAAGAAATTATTCATATCGGTCAAGCCGTTATTGAGTTTTAGCGAGACTAACCAACAGCAATTCATTTTTATATATTGTATAGATAGATTACACAATACACAGTCATCACTCATCAGTATAGGTATAGCCGTGTGCCCGCATCTAGGTAGGTATTTTGTACCTACTAAAATTAAAATTAAATAAAATTACTTATTATTGGTAACCGAAATCTGAAAAACATATATGCCCGCATGTAATATATTATAATTATATATAATATTATTAATATATTTATTATAGATGTTTCAAAAAATACCATTCGTGCAATCGTGCCCATACAACAAATAACTTAATTCATCTTATTATTTATTTATTTATATGGTTAAATAGATTCAGCAACTGCAAACATCTTAAACTTTACTAAGTACATTACCTACTTACAAGTTACAATTAATATATACCAATACGAGTATTTAAAACTGAAAATACTCTCTCGGTAGTCGGTATTTGGTATATTAATATATAATATTCTACATGTTGTACAAATATAAACTTATTGATGTACCTACCCATCACTTTATCAAGTTTATCGATAAACACAGGTTTAAAAGTATAATTAAAGTAAATAATAAATAAATATTTATGTTTTATTTTAAATTTAAATGATATAAACGAAATTCTAGGTTGATGATTAATCTGTTGATTATTGACCGACGATCGTTGGAAATGTATCATATTATTATACTAACTGACATCGTGCACTTCGTTGCCCGTTAAAAATACCTATAAGTGTATACTATCTAACTCTTAAGTTTCAAAGTTATACCAAGTTTGTCGTTTTTACTTAATCCAACCTACGACGGATTGGATACCATGTGCCATCGGGTAGTTTCTGATATAGCCTGACAATCTGACATCGCCTGGGAAAAAATGATCAATTAATACATAATACGGGGTTATATTGGTCTAACCCAGTTGAGATGCGCCAGAATGTAATATGCCAGAAACCTCCCAGGGAGTTTACTCAACAACGTCCCAAAGGTTCATCGAAATCGGATTTACAATCGCTTTAAGCTAGACAATTTTCCATACTAGACACTAGTACTAAATTACAAATTTTGAATTTTTTTTTTAGCTTTTCTTGGGGATTATTCCTATTATTTTTTTAACCACCCCTGTATTAAAGCCAACAAAACAAAAAAAAGAAATTATTCATATCGGTCAAGCCGTTATTGAGTTTTAGCGAGACTAACCAACAGCAATTCATTTTTATATATTGTATAGATAGATTACACAATACACAGTCATCACTCATCAGTATAGGTATAGCCGTGTGCCCGCATCTAGGTAGGTATTTTCATACCACTTAATTAAAAATCATGCAATTTCTTACGATCTGCATTCTTAATTATTATCAATCGTAATACGATAATATATTATAATAGTATAATATTATAAATTATAATAATTATGTTTATCAGTATTGTTTACTTTCCATACTGTAATGTCGTAACGATATGCATATTTTGTAGTTTGTACGGCTGCTTATATGTTATAATTTATAATAATTCAACGTTTGCAGACATATTATACACTTTGAATACCACAATATTGTTCTATTTTTGCACTTGGACTTCACATATCATAAATAACAATAATTAACATTCATGTAGGTACTATTAAGTATATTGACTTCGGCCATACTATGCCATTAGACACTGATGAAACACTGAACTCTGCAGTTGCCCACAGACCGAGTCTTCGTGAAGTTTGTACCAACATGCATTGGTGCTTAGATATTATAATGCATGACTAGTAGTTGTATAACAACGATAATGATTTGTTTTAAAATCTAGTGACTTTAATATTATTGCAAAGACAACTTACTATTCCGTTCTATGTAGAAACGCGAAAATAATATATTATTCAGATACCTCTCTGTGTCAACCAAAATTCAAAATCTGCACAACAGCTATGGCAGATTTGGCAGAATGTTTCATCGCCACCGGCAGTAACTTTCACCGTAACGATTTTCTTCTGTAAGTAGTGTTTATTGTTCTTTACAAACTTAAAACTATATATCTAATAAATAATAATAACAGTCTTAAAATCATTGTGTATAGTTTTCTTTATAATTTAATTTGTTTAACTAGGGTATTATTGTTGTTGTGAAAAATACAAATATTTTATTCAAAACTACCATTTACTGGTCTTAAAACCAGGAAAAATTATTTAAAAATATCTCTGAAAATCGTATCTATATTAAATACGTAATTAGTACAAATTACATTTCTTTATGGATAATAATATAACATTGTATTAATGTATAATATTTATTTCATTATATAAAATCATATAGAATATTATTTTAGGTATTATTAATTGTTGTTACCTACACTATGATAGATCATAGATAAAAAGTTAATAAATCATGAACATAAGTAGGACGAGTATTTCACATTAAGCCATTAAGGTGTGCTAATAATTTAAAAAATAATAATAATAATTTATTTAATAAGTAGATATTTTTGCAATGAATCAATTTTTCAGCCCATATCAAATATATTTTTTGTAATATTCATATATTATATTATTATATTAATTATGATGTCTAATTTGAAACATGAAAGTCGAAGTCTAATGACGATTAGTATTATCCAATAGTCAATACTACGTCTATATTCATTTAAAATTGTTTTATACAAAATAAATTCTCTTAGTTAGTCTTAAATATAGTTATATCATTATTGAATATTATTATAATTAAACCTTTATGTACCTAGTTATTATACCTAATGGTTAATATTTTAATCACGATTGTATAAAATATTAAAATGTTGATTAAACAGCTCGAGTATAGAATTTATGAAAAATGAATTAACCACGTTTTAATAAAACAATACTACACGTCTAAATATACCTACTAACTTAACTTCTTGATTCTAAATTTCTAACAAACCTTGTTTGGTTACTTTTATATAGTGTTAATTTAGTGCTTTTTGGCATACTCGGTATACCATATTATGTAATTTTGTTTTTAGCTTATTGGTAAAAACATAAAACATAATACATATTTGTCTTTATATCTGATAATCTAGTCGAAAATAATTTTTGAAGCTACATTATCAGTTATCACACTTTATTCAATGTACCTAAACTGCCTTAAGGAAATTTCACCCGGTGATTTTCTGTCTTAGTCTAACACACACGCGACATAGTATTGAAGACGTGTTTTTTGCCAAACGGCAAACATAGATACCAATTTATCTAATGAAGCAATAAGCAATAATACATGTAAAAACAAGTATATTTATTATTTATTACATGAACTAGTGTACGAATATTATTATGAAATATTATTTCAATTATGTGCAGTGCTAAAAGTTGTTCATTAGAAATTAAGTGCAAAGCTACTGGATGACTTGCCAATTGCATGAACAATCACTTAACATTTAAAATAATAGAGTTATAGAGGGCTAATGGTTCCCCGAAAAAAGATGATCAAATGATTTATCTGCAGAAAATATATCCATTAAATTTTAATATTAATACATTTTTTATGAAACCCGGCATTTGTATACCTTAATAGTTAATGCCATGTTAGTGTTCATCTTGCTATAAATAATAATAAAATATAAAATTATTTATAATATTATATTTAATAGTTCTTAGTTTGTAATTCTAATATAACTTCATATTTTAAATTGTCCGGGAATTGTATAGAATAATTTCCCAGTAACATATATATAATGATTCACCAAACATGATCATGAAATTGTTTTCATTTAATAATAAGTTTATACTATACATTTTGATCTTTCGAATTTTAATCATACCTACATAAATTATACGTCTTATAAAGACCATATTTTTAAATACCTAGGTACTTAAAATTTTTACACCACTAAAGGAAGGTTCAAATGAGAATAACTAATTTTATATATATTTGGTTTGAATCAAATGGTTGGCATTGTAATATTGTAATTGTATTCTATTTTTTTGCAGCGGTTTCTATTTTTTGTTTTTTGCTTTTTGGCTTTATTAAAGCTGTAAAATATATAATTTACTAAAGTCATTTCACGTTTACTTAATAATATACCTACTATGAATAAAAAATTATTTATTAAAGATTATTTACCTATTTCAATTTTAAGCTATATATGTGGGTAAACCTACTTAGGTACTCTAAATAAATTAACTTTTCGTTTTCAGAACAATATACTAATAATTAATATACTATATTTTAATAAGTAGCACACGGTTTATACTGTATAATTTCACTGGTATTCTTTAACATAATTAATAATCAATTATTATATACCTATGTGCATTTATTTTGTGAATTTTATTCCTATATTATAAAAAACTTTTTAATTTTTAATTTTAGGTGCTATTACATCACACGTGAAGAAATATCGACCAATAAGATGCACCTAAATATCAAAAAACTATCGACACGTATAAAAAAGAAATTGGTTCCTGCGGCGTATTTGGCAAGATTCACGGACAACTATTATATTAACCGAGTAAAACATCCAACTTTTTAAACATTCCAATATAACAATTATACTTAATGTAAATATCGCGTCTATTGAACGTGATATATATTTTATACATAAATAATACAATAAAATATTTGATTTTTTTCTTTAATGCTTTTACAAATAATGTATCCTACACCAGAGAGTAAATGATAGATTTATGTGACATACCTTGATATGCCTTTTATAATTTTAATTTAACATGAATAATACTATAGACAATTAATTTTACAAATGTTGGCATTTTTTCTTCTCATTCGCAAAGATCCTTGGTCATCGGACGTGTTGCAGTTATTGCGGCGACGTGGGTAGGATACAATACTTATCGTGTACAATATATTGTATTATGTATTATAACCAGGTCGATGGTCGAGTGTGTGTCGAGGAACATAATATTAAATATTTCGCGTGTGGTCGTCTCTCGAGGTGGCGTTAATTACGTAAACACTGTCCCTTTCAAACTCTTTAAAGAGAAAAGGTCAGGCGTATAAATTACGAATAATAGGTAAATTGTAAGTACCTCCTACATATAAAATATAATATAGTAAGTTTAAACTCTGTATACCGTGTAGTGTATACACATACAACATAGCTGCGGGCGTGCAGCGATAATAATGATACAGCTGTCTAATAAAAACACCAAGTACCTACCTACGGGGTAGGTACTTAGTGGATCGTCAATCGACTGTCATATTATTATTCGTCGTCGTCGTGTGTCGTGTGTGTGCAGTCAAGTGCGGCTCGTATATAAGAAGAAGTGGCCGTAACCTCCTATGATCGTCGTATATATTATACTTGTCGAAACCTCTCGGCCCGGTCACGTGTGTGGTTATCATCCCCGCAACAGCAGTCACAATAAATATAGTATAATAATACGCGCGTGGTATACGTGATATATATATATATATATATATACAAATAATACATATCACCTCGCTGCACAACATATGTGTTCACTATGTGTGATATATACAGAATGATTCACCAAGCATGCTCCCACATTTTTCTTCTTGCAATTAAAATCGTTGGAATTTTTAAATATAGGTAAGTACTCGAAAATACAGCACCTATATTACTAAATTATTACTGTCCTATGGAGGTGCAAATTTTTATTTTTCAAATGACAACCTCCCTTTTCTACTTAAAATTATTTAGCGGATAATTTTCTGAACTAGTAGTTTTTGAATTATTTAACCGTGGGTACTGAGGTATAGGATTATAGGACATAGGCTATTGGAAGATATAAGAATTATTGTAATTTGAAAATTTTAGTTTATCAAAGTTAATTTTAGTTTTATACTATCTATTAATATTTATAGTATATAAAAATGGTTCAGTTATAACTAATAATAGATTCAATATTATATTTTATTTTGTATTTTTGTAAAACCATTTTTTACCATTTTTATAAACACTCAACTGCTCAAGTCTCTGTGTACCAAACTCAATTAGTGCTAAAAAATTTCTCAAGAATTTAAAAATATGGTTTTTAAGCATATTTCAAAATTCTAAAATTCAAATTTGAATAAATTCGTTATTAAATGGAAAAATTAGGGGGTGTATGCTTGGCGAATCACACTGTATATTATATTTTGACCAGACTGCCGAGCTAAGGGATCGCTAGGGATTTACGGTCTTCTTTATTATTATTATTATTATATATAATGTATGTATGTGTATATTATAATACGTATATATTTATGCATTATATTATTATAAATATCGCGCGTGTTCTGGTGCGTGAAAACCGACACGTTTTTATTTATTTTTTTTTTTGATCGTACTTAATAAGGTGCTGGTCCCAAGTAGGTAGGTAGGTAGGTAGGTACTAGGTACATAATATTATATGTGTGTATAGAAATATTTGACGAAAACGTTCTAATTTCCAGTCCCCGATCGATATATATATATATATATACACACACCTAAGTATCATATGTGTGTAGGGGCAGGAATACGATTGAGAACGGTCATTATTGGCGATACCTTTCTTAGACCCTTTTGACTATTACGATTGAGAACGCTCAGTTTTTATTTTTCCGCCCAACGTTGCCAAACTTTGCCATATAATAATCGGCTATGGCTATAGCCTATATAAATATATGTGACTCTTAGCACTGCTCACACACTATGTAGCAGGAATAAACGTCTTTAAAACTCAATACTATTCAACAGGGTACTGTTAAAAAGGCATCAAAAGCAGATGAAGAAAAAATTTCAAAAACAATAAAGTCTTATATTAACTACTGTCAAAAAAAATCTTCTGAAGGATTAGTAAAATATTTAACACATATGGGAAATTTATATAGGGAAATTAAATTGTAAATTATTTTTAAATGTTTGTATTATTGGTACCTACCAATAATACAAATTTTTTTAAAAATTATGACATTTTTAAAATTTATAATTTTTAATTATTTTATTCAATGTTTTATTTCATTTTTATTTTGACTTGAATATAGTTCGGCAACGTTGCACTTAATTTCGTTCTCAATAGTACTGTTTTATTGGGTCAGCGGTTATTTCATTGTTCCATTTCGAGTGATCTCAATCGTACGCTAAAAAAGGTCGAACGTTCTCAATCGTATTACAGCCTGTGTAGGTATATAAGAGCGGACGGGTCACACCGGATAATATATAACGATCTATAGTGGACAAAAGCGCCCCACACCAAGATGAGGCGTTAAGAAAATAAATCGATATCATATAATATATAATAATATGTTTATATTGAAAATGCGGATAAACAAACAACCATTTACCAGTTTTTTTTCGGCACTTGAACGCATTCCTGCATGTGTATTATAGTGGTTCGAATCGCCGTCGTTGATAAAAATGTTTATTTTACTATAGTATAATATAATATAGGAACCGCTGTGTACGATACGATAATAAAGTATAATACATTGTCATCATGTTTTATAAAATAAGTAAATATAAAATATTATATAAGTATCAATTTTTTTTCGTAATTCCACTTCAACATAATATGTAATTATAGGTGCACTAAGTTATTATATTATATATTACATTGGCGTGTATACAACCGTTTAACACGCCGTGTGTAAATCTCCATTTTAAGGCCAGTGTTATGACTAAAAAAGAAACCAATACATACATAATTTAGAATTCTAAGGGCGTCCTCCAAGTGTACCTATAAATATTTGTTTAGGTGATTTCCGTCACAACATCGTAATTTATCCTTTCCTTTATTTACCGAATAGAGGTACCTATAACCAACAAATAATCGATATAGGTTTTTAAGCAAAAATCTTTTCCTAAATGACATTCAAAATAACCATAAATCTAAAATATATACATTTAAACTTAAACAAAATTTAAGTTTTAAAAAATAATATTATAAATATAATTTATAATTTTTTTTATTGATTTCAAAAATAACCTGGCGTCTAAGGCCATTAGTTACAGTCATTACAATGTCTTAGGTTTGTTTATACTTTATAGGGATGATACATTGGATTTATATTAATGAGGTGACAATATAGTTAGTTATGGTTAATATTAGTTCCGATAATTACAATATTTACACATGTACTTATAAATAAAAATATTATAGCAAAATAAGATGTACTTAAATTAAGGTTATTTTATAGTTGTCTTCAGTTTGAGATCCGAGAGCTGAGTCGAGGGTCCCGTCGATTTGGATTCTTTGTCGAATCGGTTCATATTTCTGACATTCCGTTACGATGTGTTTCACCGTGAGTCTGACGCCACTTTTAATTTATATTTAGAGTGTATATATAGAGGGCTTGACTGGCGACTGCGTCTATCTATTGTATAATGTATTAATGTATTAGAAATAAGAACCGACGACCTAAAAGCTATATTTTTTGTAAATGTTGTGATTTAAACTTAAAAATCAGAAAATTATACAATAATAGTATCGATTTTTGATGATGATTGACATATTATTGTTTAATCATCACACAAACAATTTGTAATGTACATGTTTTTCTTTGTAAAAGTTCATTTAACTTTGCTCTCCTATCTCAAAGGTTAAGAATTATGGATTAAACGAATTATCACAGTTTTTTTTGTCATAGATAATATTATTTTTTACTCAATAGAGGGTTTTTTTTTTAAATTTTAAGTTGAGAATTACACATTCTAGATAGTGCTGTCCCATTAAATGTTATTATAAGTAGTATCGATAGAGTGCATAATATATACACATTACACAGTTACTGAGAATGTAAATTAAAAACAATTTACTGTTTTTTTTTTTAACATAAATAATTGTGATTATAATAATAATTAGAACAATTAGAACCTCGCTAGCCAATATAATATGATTATGTTTTATCACTGAATTAAAAAAAAATCTCTTTGCTCTAGATTATAAGTTAGATCAATTATTAATATTTGAGAAATGTGATTTTTATCATTAATAGAGAAATATTTTTAATAATAGTTTTAATCAATTCTTAAATATTGTGAGGTATATATTATTATTAATTGTTATGTACATACTACATACACGGTACCTACACATTACACAATATACAAATGCTACATAAATACATACCTAACGTAAACAGCTTTAGACGGCTTCCCAAATTCGTCGGACTCATATCAGTCCGAAAAATAAACTAATGGAATCAAACAATTTTCAATTAAATATTATTGTAGTAGGTATGGAGTCTAGCGGTCTTTTTTTTTATTTTGCAAAACAATCGATCATATCATCTGAACCCCAAAACCTCCTCTCAAATACGGCCTTGCACTTACTTAATAATACTAAATATTAGAAATCACCAATACCCGGTGCTTCTGCAGTTCTGCGAGTGTAGCCAGACAGGCGGTCTACATAAATATTCTGAACTCTGACGTACACATAATCTAACCTATCATATCCGGATTTTTGCTGCTTTATTAAACTCGCGTGAAATTTAGGTTATATTGTTAACGGCAATGAAATCTTAACGGGCAACGAGAGAGGCGACGGGATGTAGGAACAGGGTAGTAAGTGCGGTGCGGATTTGATA